TTCGGATGCTCCGACCCGAACATTTCCACGTGATCCGAACATTTTCACATGGTCCGAACCATTTTTTTCGCCATGGCCTTGATTCTGTCAGGAAGTTGACCAAAGTCAATAGCAGTTGGATATCCTTTTTTAATACCCTCTGGCACGTGTGTTAATTCGGCTGCATGTAACATGCAGAATGCGTATGATTCTACAGCAGACAATTCTGTTCAATATAGATATAAACTTAGTTAAACTGTTTAGGCAATTTTTAAGAACTTTAGCTTCAGTAACTTACTTTTCTTCTGTAGTTTGCTTAGATACTGCTCAAGTTTGGGTGGAAGAGGACTGGGCAATGGTTCTTCGCAGTACGGACAAGGCTCAACATCTTGAGCTAGATAGAGAAAAAGAGTTAGCCTGGAAATACTAAGTCACATAGCCTGGAAATACTAAGTCACAAGATAATAATTACTAAATTCTCACCATCATTATTGCTTTCACTCTTTTCGTCATGCAGCTCCTCTGCATATTCACTTTCTACATTATCCGTATAATCAGTCATATTGTTCAGAGTGTAGCTCATTATGTTTTCCTTTTTGTGGACTATTTATATTGGGACAACGTCTTGTGTGACCCGTTTGTCTACAAGAGCCACACACAGGCATACGTTTTTGTGTGCCTAAACTCTGCCTGCCTTTGTGTTACAGCACGTTTTGATAAACGGCCTTTTGTTTTAATTATAAACGGGTTATATGTAGTAGGAGACGTATGCGCTGACAGTTTCACCGCTGATCTAGTGTTTTGCAGAACTTCTTCCAACTTTGTATTAAAAAAGTTCGCAACTCCAGCTGCAATGTTCAATTTTTCTTAATGTCTGATTCAAAACGAATAGTTGATAACTCTTGATTATTTTGTGAATCAACTTCTGCCTGAGAATTTTCTCCTCTAGCCGCCGAAGCACACCTGCTATTATAAAAGGACGTGTAATGTTGAACCAGAGTATTTTTGTTGGGGTCCTTGCACCACCTATTCAGAAAAAGTGACGTTGGAATAATGTGTCTGCAAGGTATTCCGACAAAATTCATTTGATTGCAGGTGCATTTAAAGCATTCGTTTTCTTCATTATATTGAACGAACGTAATGCAATCTTGCTGCTGTACTGGAAGAGAATTGCTAACTACTTTATATTGTTTCTCTGTTTCACTGTATAAAAAAAATTAGTTAATTATATACCTGTATAACTATGAAGTACAATTACAAAATTATTAAAATTTACCTCATTAAGATGCATTTATAATTATTCTCTTTGTATGCAGCATAATCTTCGGCTTCTTTTCTAGCCTCTATTGCCGAAGCAAATGCCTCAAGAAACTCTTTTAATGAAATAGTGGCATTAAAGAAACTTTTTAAAAGAGCGTTCATACTTTCCCCTTTGTGTCATGCCCGCTAAGAATAAGCAGAGAGCCCATTTTTTTTTAGTTTCTTCCATAATTTCCAAGTACTTGACAGCATGTACATGACTTTTTCTAAAACTTTTGTTCCTCGGTTTCCTTTATGCATTCTCCATCACATTTTAAATAAATGCCAAAGACACAATCGATGCGTTGAACCATAAAGAGCGAAAGTTTGACTAAACGCACTAGAAATGTCCTTATCATTATCGGTTAATAGCACTCCCGGAGAATGGTTTTTAACAAGTTTAAGGAAGCTTTTAAAATCCACACAAAGTTTTCCGCTGTTTCAGATAACATTAACGCTCCCGCAAAACAGATTGACTGACCATAGTTATTAACGCCGCTGAAAATGCCAAATGGCATAGAAAAACGGTTTGTTGAATAAGTATTATTATAGACGACTACATCATAAAAACGAGAATATGCTATTTTTTGTTCGGAAAACATCCAAATTACGTGTTGAGACGGTTAGAGATTGGATCGCATTGATACTCAAAAGCAAGTTTCGGATAATTAATCTGAAGATATTTCAGTGTATCAATAAACTCCTGAGCATCAAAGTCTCTGTTGCTTTGACTTTCCGAATTATGTAAAAAGTTGTATAAATCGTTATAGATCCAAGTAACACGGTTAGTGAATTTTGTTGTTCGCACGGAACGAATTTGAGATCCGATCGTTTGGGTAAAATAATCTCTGCTTTAACATCCTCAAGAAGTTCTCGTTCACTTGCCATAAACCGACGACGTTGTTCTGGTAATACCATTTGGTGATTGTGTTCGAGTCTAATGTCTAGTGTATGCCAAAGACCTGTTGTTGATTGAATCATAAGATGTTCGAACTCGGAATAAACAATTAGTCGTTTGCGATACTCTTTTACGTTTACCCTCAGTCTCTTTCCTAGTAGAAGTAGTACGTGCTTTTGAGCATACAATTGTACGTTTTTTAACGGTATTAGTTCCTTTTTGCCGTATAATTTTGTCAAGACGAACAGAAAATCCTTCTTTTCTAGCATAATTTTTTACAAAATCAATAAATGCAGTTTTATCCAAAAATGTTTTGCCTTCGAATAAATTCAAAGGTTCTAAAGTTTTATTCGATAACTCTGTTTCTTCTATTTGCCCCCTGGAAGCAATAGATGCAATTCAATTCTTTATAATTTAAAAAACTGGATGCTGCAAGGTGGACGGACATTGCATATTCGTGTTACAAAATTATCCAATAGATGACCATCACATGCTCGTCATTTCTTTGTTTACAACCGCGACGCCTAACACTTTTATTATTATGATTATGGATAACATTAGCGAAATAAAAGTATAAATGTAAAATATAAAATAACCACACTGTCAACAAAGTGACAGGTTATACACTAGTACGAGATTAAAAAAAAATACAATTAAGTGCATAAACGTGTTAGTATTCAATTCAAGTATGCGTCTATAGTACGTCTAATTGGCCCAGAGATCCGGCCGTGCCAAGCTTGCATTTAGTTTTCTTGGGCTCTTGGTAAGATGAAAAAATAATACGCCGTTTGTTGAAAACAGTAATAACTCCTTAAATTTTAAGTTTATGACATCACACGTAAAATTTTGGCTCGAGCGGATGTTTTTACTTCGCCAATTTTTGGTTTTACTTGTCTCCAGCAAATTTTCCAAACATCGAATATTTTGTATCGGACTATACTACACCCTCTATGCGATGCCAACCATAAAACTTCAAAAATTCATATCTCGACACTTTTCTAACAAATTTTGTATTCTCCCCCCCCCCCCTTTTTTTTTTTGAACCAGTTCGTAGTTATGCTTATGATCTATGGGTAAATTATAGCGTGATGAAATGCAAATAAGCGTGCAGCATGACGACTTTAAGAGTTATAATGCGCAGTTGTTTTCTTTATAGTAACAATTGTTCATAATTTGACTAGATGTTCCAAAAACCATATAGAGATGGTTTAGGTAAGCAAAAGGAAAAAAGGATTATAAAAATCGATTAGAAACATGTAGAGATATGAATTTTTGAAGTCTAAGTTCGAAGTAAGCGAATGCGATTTTGGTATCTTTTCATATGTTTCCTTACGTTTCGAAACAAAATATCCGATATTTGAAAAATCTGCTGAAGACATCCGCTCTAGCTGAAATTTTACGTGTGATCTGGTATTGTCATAAACTTTTTTGCCGGGAAAATTTACGTACGTTTAGGTGATCATACTTATGCTCATTACTGTAACATCACATTCTGTGTTTATCAATATACGTTTGACGTGCCAAATTTATTTTCAAAACTTTTATTACAAGACCAAATTACAAATCGTTAACACAATAGCTAGTCGATAATACATATGTAATCTCAAGAGAAATAAAACATGCCATAATAGAAAAAGTTATTAAATATTTACTACTACAAAGATAAAAAAAAGATAACCCACGTATTATGCCCGAAAAAAGTGAGACTCGGGATCTGTTGATTGTAAATTGAGATCATATTAATATTGAGACGTTGGTAAGGAAAAGGTTCATTATTATCATTATTATAATTTGCACACTCGCCATAATAATTATCGCGGAGATAACTATCTACGTCATTATTCAATGACGGAGGGGTTGCTTCATTATTAGAAGCAGCCGTGGCGGTGGTGGCGGCGGCGACAGTGGATGCGGTATCTGTAAACAAAAGGTATTCAACGTCAGAACTCTACTTTGTACGTTTGATTGCGGTTTAATTTGTGACTATCGATGTTGTATTCTAATTATATTTGTAATAATGTATTATTATTATAATGTTCTTACCTGGTTTTCTTTTTCTGCTTTCAACCAGACACCGCATTTTGACCAGTATCTCTTCGATACTGGCCGAGTGTCGCGGAAAGCTACCGCTTGTATTTTGCGGCCCGCGTTTTTTCGTCGGCTGTACTGCCGGCCCGACGCATCATCTCAGCCAGGATGGAGTAGTTAAAGGTTTTGGAGGCTGGAGAGATGGAAAGGCGGTTCCAAATATAGCTGAAGGGAAATGTTGTCCCGTAACGACTTCATTTGAGTTATGCCAGGTTTGGGGTTTGGGGTTTGGAAGTGAAGAAAAAAGTTTTGTGTAGTAGTAATTGCTTGATTGCATCTTTAACTACCACCTTTCCTCGCTTAGGGTTCTTATATACTATTTTTCGTTTACACCAATTACTTTATTTGACTACCACTCAAATTCCATTGCAGTTTGTATGCGAAAGCATAGAAAAAATATTAGCCATGGAAGGTTGCATAATTCTTTGTTACGTTCCATGCCATTTCTACTTCTTTTTTTGGCCCATAGACAAAATACAGGTTTTTCGGTTCATTGACACAACAAAATCTCTCAGCCCCTTTTTTTTCTTCTTTTTTTCTTTTTTATGTCGGACGACATGTATACTCTCGTTAAGCTGTAAGTCGGACAACCTCTCCATTCATAAGCCGCAAACAATATTATCAGTTATTATTATTGTTGTTGTTGTTGTTGTTGTTGTTGTTGTTGTTATGTTATCAAGAGCATTTCTGTAATTTAAAAAACTCATTATGTCATTGATAATTTTGTTATTTTATTTGATGGTTTATAAAACAAATTGTTTACACCTCGTTATTATTATATCATTGATAATGATTTAGAAAAGACGTTTGTAATGTATTGTACGTCATAAGATATTCATTAATGATATCATTCTGCGATTATTTGTACTTCGAAATAACGCATTTATTATTCTTAATACATTCAGAAGATGTATAAAAAAGCTGTTCCCATCCTTTAAAGTTAAAGTAAGTATAATATGTTAAAGGAAATTGTATTACAATGAACCCCATTGATCCTTCGATAACGATAAGTCGGACAGCAATTCCCACCCCGACTTTTGAGTTTCATCGTGTTTACGCATTGTGACATGGTAACATTTTAGCTCATCAATATCCAAATACCCAAACTGAAGGTCTTGTGACTTACACATAAAAAATCAAGTTACAAATCGTGTTTGTTAATTAACAATCAGAATACATAAACTGCGTATAACAGATATACATTAGCGTCTAGAAAGAAAAGAAAGAAAGAAAAATTGACGGTATTAATTTATATCAACATTTAATTTAAACTTTGACTGAACCCGATATTTTGGTGATGTGATGGTTCTCTTTACGAATATATTTTCCAACCCTTCCTTTAATGCTAGGTATTGTCTCGGATTGAACTGCTTCTCGGTAAATAGGAGGTTGCGGAGTCATCAATGACAATTGAATGAAGAAAGACTATTTTTGCATTCTTCCATTTGTATAAATAAATGGACAAAGACAGTCCTTCGTTCAAAAGATTACTTGCATACGTGCAACGCACATGATCAATACAGTTGTCCCTTGTCAAGAATAAAAAAGGTTAAGACAACTGGGACTGGAACGAATAATATTAACGAGTCACGAAAACGATAATTTAATGTAACAATTTTCTTTCTTATCGAAGGCACACCATGTTATGCCGATCAATTACTATTAAATAGAATAAGCCATTTAACTTACTGAATCAATGGACAATCAATCAGCTAGCGAATATCGGCATCAATGTCAACATCCGAATTTGGTTTAAAGTTCAAGCATCCCGTAACTCTGTGCGACAATCCATATTAATATTGGGGTCACGGACTTGTATTACAACGCACCGACTCCTTGTATTTTTTTGATGTGTATCAATGATTTTTCCATTGGGACGTGTACTGCTACGGTTAGTATTAGGGGTTTGAGTTTTCATGGCAAACTGTTTATTCATGCCAAAGACCTTGCTTTTTGCCCAGAAATTTTTATCGAAAATATTCGATTTAGACATTCGAATTTTTCTCATCCTCCCTTCCCCAACCATAATACCGTTCTTAGAACAAACAAATATGCTTAGTTCTGTAATTATTCAGAACCAGAAGTTTGTTACTAAGGATTAAGATAAAACAATGTAATAATCGTAAAGTAACACATAACACATCAGATAAGCTTAGCAGCTGTATTTACGGATTGCTGTTGTTCAATCTGGATGAAAAAATTCTTACTGTTACGAACAGATGTACAATTAACGTCAAGTCTGGTTTTTGCAAAAACTTACCCTTCTATCGTCAACTTTTACTCTTTGCCCTACCCAAAGTTTATAAACGTGGACAGAAGCAGTTATAAAACGACTGTCTTGTCGACATTTTTTTGCTCAATCTTATCGGAAGAGAATAATAGTTTACTTGATAACGATAAGTTGTTTAGATTTAATGTCTACCGATAGACATTAGGTCGTGAATAGAAAGCCTGACGCGCTAAATTTTCAGAAATATATGTACGAGTTTCAAGCAAGATGGCGAAGCTACGAGTTTTGTTTTTCATGAACGATTTTTTCTGTGGATGTCTTCCATTGTCCGGTCAATTCACGACAATAGTACTCTTGAGATTATTGAGACAAATGAATATAACAGTGTGCCGCAAGAAAAACGTTATCGTCCAACTCTGATAAATAGTGGACGATTGCCTGAGAACAGGAACAAGTGATGAATCTCTTACTTACAGTACAAGTGGCTGGCACCATAACAGCGAACACGTCTATTACATTGTCCATTTGTGTCATATTTACCCGTCAAATATAGAGTTTTTTACTGTCATAGACACTAACGTAATATTCTTCTTCAATAACAAAAACTTAGCAAATGGTGAAGCTATTGGCGACGAATTAGAAAAAGGTACAATCAAACCTCTCTAAGTCGGGGCCGACGATGCACTTGCATTTAGAGAGAGTGCGCATTTAGAGAACGCCAATCATTTTGTTTCACGTGACATATTCGCATATAACGATTGTAAGTTTATTCAATTATCTATCATTGTTTGCTTCGAGAAAGCGTCCTCAAGTCGTCTTACAATCTTGCTTAATCGTACTAATCCACAAAATATTTCTAAACAGTTAAGCGTCTCCTCGTGGGTAACCCTTTGTCTTTCTACACTATCATACTCGTCTACATTTCCACTTCAACTTCATGTGTGACTAAGT